CGTTGTCGTTCTACTATAAATAACCAACTAAGACATCTCTCTCTCTCTCTCTCTCTCTCTCTCTCTCTCTCCAGGAGGTCAGGCAAGCTGCTGCAGCCAAATCAGCTTGTCAGCAGGTTTTTCATCTTTATTTAGCATATAGGTCAAGTTATCACAACTGTGTATAATCAAGGGAGGTCATTAATAGATGCTACAAGTGTATAGTAACTCCAAAGAGCCTTTGTAGAGGTACATAGCTACACGCTGTCAAACAAACTGATAGACATCATTAATATTCTCCTCCATCTCTCTCCTAAGAAGCTAACGTGTAATGCGGAAGCCTCAGATCTGGATGATTTTTGTCTTGGGATGCTATAACGAGGCAAAGCAGTCAAGTATATTGCCCATGTTTTCAGTGGGACCTCAAACTGCTCTCTAAAATCACAAGTTCAGGCCTGTGAACTTATGTTTTTGCAAGTGCAATTTTTCATGGGCCCAAATTTGGATTTGCCTACAGAAACTGCATTTGCGTGTGCAAATAGAGTAGTTACAGGTCTACCTAATTTGCCTATGTGAGCAAAAAATTGTACATGAAAAATTACAGCCACAATTTCAGAAGTTTGGTGTTTAAAAATATAGTTTGTCTTACAGACACTGGAGGAATCAATGGTGGTATTTCTGATAGATCAGTTTTTACCAGTCTTACACAAAAGCAAGCATGCATGTGTGAGAGTTAAATGTATGAATTTAGAATTAGAAATTTGTGATGTTGGGTTTTCTTTCACCATGTCATTTTCTGTAGTAAAAACTGAATCCTTGCCCATGATTAAAGTGGGGAGGTGGATCACATGGCAATAATGTGCTAGGGATCAAGGAATATTTCCAGCATTGGGGAGACAGGAGGGGATTGTGAATTGTTCTGGGCAAGAGTCCCAAACTTGCTCACCTCCCAACTGCCACAATCATCCTCTGTTGTACTCCACTATTTACTTTTAAAGTTGTTTACCCAACTGGAACGGACTACTTTTCTCTAATGCATTTTCCCTCTTAGAGCTCGAACTGAGTCGGTATAGGACATTAGCACTTATCGCCTGCATGTAGTGGCTAATTATTTTGCATGGTGGAGAGGTCTTGTTGCAGAGAGTCTGGGGATCTGTCCCGTTCACCAACCCTCCTATTAGCCACTGGAACAAAAGAGAGAGGAAAGTTCTGAAGACGCTGGAGAGTTGCAACCTGTTAATCTGGTATACCTTAGGGCAACAGCAAGGAAAATCAGAGTTCGGTACGGTCTGTATGGGAAAAGAGAGAAAATGTGGAGTGAGGAAAGGGGAGAGACTATTAGGGAGGGAAAGTGGGGAGAGACAGATGAAGAAAATTAAGGAAAGGGGAGAATAAGATGAGGGGGAGGGAAAGAGAAAAGGAGACCAAAAAAGGTAAAGAGAAAAAATTATAAAGAGAGAAGACAGAATAACGGTGAAAAAATCTTGCAGAAATGAGAGAACAAAAGAAAATTATTAAGAAAGCAAGGGTGGGGTGTGTGTGGGGGGAAGGAATATAAAGAGTATGAGAACACACATAGCTTGAAGGATGTAAAATTATCTTCTATTAATATTTTCTCATGTTTCTGCTAGAAAACAGACAAAAGGAGGAAGGGTTGGTTGAGGTGAGGGAATCCAGTTTAAGCCTGTGACGGACCCATGACGAAGGTGTTGGAGATAAGAGAGAACTTTGGGTTTGAGGTGAGAATGTGTGTGGGAAGAGTGAGGGGCTGAAAGGGGAAAAGAGGGTCTTTTCATACAAGGATTTCTTCCACAGTTCAAACACTGCTTCCTCTTTTTGATACGTTTCTGTTTGCATTGTTGAACTTGAAACCTCAGATAGTGCCAGATCTGGCCCACAACAGTACCTTGACATGCTATTTACCTTGGCCTGCAGCTTCAATTCCCTTTTGTGTTGTTTCCAACACCCCTGACATTTCACAAATAAGTCACTGAAGTCATTAGAAATACCCTGCACACAAGTATACACGTTCAAAGGACAAAGATCCTGATTGTGAGTCCCTGTATTGTGTTAATCTAAAGTGTTAGGTTAAACAAATGCCATATTGAAAAAAAAATACATTATCAGGAAAGAGAATGTTCCCCAGTGGTAAATCTGATGGATTGCTTAGTAGGCTTTTTTAGGAATTGTTTTAATTATTATTTACTCTGTACTGTTGATTTGCATGGCACTAATAGAGGAGTAAGAAGATAAGGTTTCTGATAAGATAAGGTGCTTAGGAAATGCCTAAAATAACCGAAGACTTCACTTTTCTATAATGAAAACTAGAAGGAGTTAGGGGATGAGGATTGCTAGTTCAATACGTAATGTTCAAAGTCTTTTCTAATAGTAATGAACTTCTTGAACAAAGCAAAGATAGAATGGCTTAGTCTGTTTAATCTAATATATTTATATAATGCCATCAATCCCAAAGTACTTTAAAAATGATCAACCTGATTTTCAGTATGGCTGAAAATCAGCTGTCATATATACAGTACTATTGAAACCCAGCTCTGGGCTTCCATGCACCACACTGGGGAGAGTGGGGAATTTTGGCCAAGGATGCTGGAGCAAACACTACTGTACGTTTGTATGGAAATTGGGCAGCCCCTTCCATATCTAATAGTTAACTTAATAGAACTCAAGATTTCTATCTCAAAAGGATGAGTTGAATCAGCCTTTCTAGTATATGAACCTGTGATTCCAGGCAATCTAGGTATTTTCAGCCTGAGTTTTAAACTACTAAACCATCCCCGCCAGCATAAATAGTTGCAGTTAGGATGCAGATTTTGGAATAAAGGTTGAAACATGATTTGTTTCCACACCGAGTTTGCAAATGGCTAACACTTGTTTGGTATAGTTGTATGTGCTTTTTTGTGTGGTCAGTCTAGACTGCACAAGTTTTGTGCATTTGTTTCTTGTGCTAAGGTAGAATGAAGGTGCAAAGCTCATTAACAAGCACATGGGTGTTAGTGTTCTAAGTCTTTAGGCTGCATGGAATGTTCCAAATAGAATTTCCTTTCCTTTGATTAATTGGCCCTAGAGAGGTGGCTTGGGAGAGATCTGAGTAGTGACTACCAGTAAAACAAACAAAAAACAAATAAAAACCCTAGCAGGTTTGTGCAGGAAAGTGTGTGCAAATTTCATGGAAGCTATGTGACTACCATTTTAAAAAAAAAAGATCTGCAGAATCCTATGAAACCCAGCAAACTTTGTTATATGTACCTGCTTCTTGTCAATACCTGCCATTATCCCAACCCTTGAATACAGGACTGTTTGGCGGTTCACAGATAGGTGGCATATTTAAGCCCCTCCATAGTTATTAGCCACATTGTCAGGGATGCAACCTCATGCACTGGGTGTCCCTAACCTCTGATTGCCATAAACTGGGAATGGATGACAGGGTATGGATTACTTGATTGCCTGTTCTGTTCATTCCCTCCAAAGCCGCTGTCAGAAGACAGGATACTGGGCTAGTTGGACCATTGGTCTGACCTGGTGTGGCTGTTCTTATGTTAAACAATCCAATCTGCCTCAAGATTTGGTAAGTGTTGCCATCTGGATTTATATCCTCTCAAGTGCAGTGTCCAAGATGCAGTTTTAGTAAAACTACATCATAGTATTGGCTAGTGCTGATTGATATGACACCCCAGGGAGGGAGCATTTTCAACAGGAGCAGCAATGTTGTTTTATTTTCATCGCACCTGATTGAGACCCATAAAGCAGTTATGTTTCAGAGATCATCATAGCTGTGATCCCTTTGCCTGGCATATTGCTGTGCTGACAGCTGGTCAGAGCATTGCTACACACGAAGATCCCCACACACATTGCAAAGCTACCATAATGCAGTCTAGGATCTGCCCTGCTGTGGATGGTAATAGTATGTTATTGGCCCAATGAAAGAGAATGCATTCACATTAGCAATGAGCAGGCATTTTAAAAAAGAAAAATGGAAGACTTAAAAAATATTCTGGAGAGGGTGCAGCTTTTCAGATTTAAAAAAATAATGTGAATTTAATGCTTATGGAAGGTGATGGATTGATGGCCCTGGAGAATGGAAGGACTGTATCTTATGAACAGGATAAGCATGCAAGTTTCCTCAAATGTTACTCTGTGCCTGTCAAAATCCCTTACCTTCAACTTGAAGAGAGCATCTCTTCAGGTAACATTGTAGTCTAGTTTGCATGCCAATACAGTGTTCTCTGCTACTGAACATATCAGCTGTGGTGGGATACCACTGAGGTGGATGCCTAGTGACTGGGAAATGGACGGAGACCACCAAATTAATGTAACATACCTTCCAGTGTCATTTGGCAACGTAACAGCTTTCAGTAATAACTCACCTGTTTTAGATTTATTTTGTACTGGTGACGTAGGCACTCTAGGACGCTCGCCAAATGCTTTTCAGGTTTTATTTGCTCCATGTGGATATTCACGAGCCATTGAAATATATAGTGTGACTAGACATGGAATGATGGTAGGATACAATTATTATTTATTGAGCTCCAGACATAATGCACAAGTTACTTTCAATCTAAATCTGATGCAGGTAGAACAGTTTAGACAGACAATAAACTGGCAGAAGATAAAGGCTGTGCTGTAAGGCAAAACAGAACTCTAAACAGCCAGACCCTCTTAGCCTTTTCAAAAATTAGGTTTATTAAATTAGAACTCAGCAAACAAAGACACAGCTCCTATTTGTAACAGACTTTCTCATTTTCCTCACCTTGCAACTCAGTCTCACCCCCACAAAGTACTCATGTGCTTCACCCACAGAACTATATGCAAGAACGTGTATTTCCTTTTTAATTTGGCCTGAATTTTCTCTCTAACCTAGTTAGAGAAAAAATCCCCAAAGAGCTCTGCTGCCTATGACAACAGCATGGGGCAGGTTAACTTTAAAAAGTAGCTGGCACAATGGAACTGCTGAGGGAAAACCCCATGATGAAAACTGGAACACACCCAAAGGTGAATTCCCTGAGGTCTCCAGCTGGCAATATAAGCAGGTTATCTGGAGCCAAAGTCACCAGATCAGAGCAGCCAGTTTTCTGATACATTTGAAGTGTAGACTATAGTAAAACGTTACTGAACTGAAAATGACCAACTTTATCAGCAGAAGCTTGATCCTGGCTTCTTTGATGGGGCTGCTGCTGTTGTACCTGTCTGGCACTTCTGAAGGTGAGTGATCTTGGATTGTTTCATTCCTCTGATTTGATTTCATGGGCTCAGAATATTGCTCTGGAGCACGTCAAGCAAACCGAGGTGTGCCTGTAGGGTGGTAGGAGGTGTCCCAGAGAATTAAACTATATGGTGGGCAGGACTTTCCTTCCAATTCTAGTGGAATTCAATGTTCAGGGATTTGTCAATGTTGTATTCTGGGCAGGATTAAATTATAGTCCTAACTTTATTTTTCTCATTCCTAAATAAGTATTCTTTTTCCCCCTCTATTTCAGCACAAAACAATCAAGATTGCTGCCTCTCTTACTCCGCAGTACGGCTGCCTCGAGGAGTCATAAAGGGCTACACAGAACAGCTATCCAGTGAAGTCTGCGACATCAATGCTATCATGTAAGTTACCAGTCAGAAGAAGTTCAGTCACATGATCAGTACTTTCACTGCCAGGCAAGAATTAGCCTTTGGACTTTTGTGTGATTGAAAACAGAAATGCTTTGACCACCATAAATAAACTGTCTTTATCTTTTTCAAAAGGAAAATTGTCCTATAAAGTTCTCTTAATATACAAATACTCTTAAGTTTTATAATGTACTATTAGGAAGGGACCATTAACTCACATTCTTACAGGATGTCTGTTCAAAATAAATATAAACCTGCCTGTTTAGGAATCTAAGAAATGCCACATGGGATCAGACTAGTGGTCCATTTAATGTAGATTGATGTAGCCTCCAACAATGGTTTCAAAAGAACATTTAACACCCCTCCCCTCCATCCCATCCCATAAGGGACACTTAAGCAATACTATTCTTGTGGGGGAAGTTTCTTCCCAACTCAAAGTAGTTAGTGGATCTCTTATATCCTGAAACATGAGGGTTGAGATCCCTCATATTTTTTATACCATCTAGTTTAATTGTAGCTCTTCCCACAATTCCGAGAAATATCTAATTGTTGTTTGTATTCAGCTAAGTTCTTTGCCTCAACATCTGGTACCAATGAATTCAACATAATTGTGCACTATGATTAAAAAATATAGAAATCAATTTTGATCAGTTTTAATCGTTGCCTTTTAATTTAATTGGATGTCTCTTTGTGCCCATAGTATGAGTGAGGATGAAAAGGAGATCCTAATTCGCCTCCTCTATGAAACCTGCTGCTGCTTTGTATGGAGCAGCCATAAACTGTTTCTATTCTGCTCACTGTAGCCCTAAGGGATTTAATAGAAGGAAGTAACTATAATTGTTTACCATACCTTTCCTTCCAGTTTTCACACAAAGAATGGAATGAAAGCTTGTGCAAATCCAGAAGACCGCTGGGTGAAGAAGCATCTTCTTTGGCTGAGGTAGGAGTAGTTTAAAACCTATTAATCTGGTCAAAACAGAATGTGTCTGAGTATCCACTGGCAGTAACAGAGCTATATTCTTGCTGGCATTGAGAGAACCAGCTATGCACATGTAGAATACATTTTTGAAAATGTGTGAATCTCTCTTCCCTCCCTTCTCCTGCTGGACCTGGTTGAAAATTTTTTAAGCCCTCATAGTGCTAGGCATAGGGATAGAAGTTTTATATGCTGGCCTCTCCCACCTGAGATACCCTGTTATTGACTAATAGCAAGAGCTGTACTAGGGGGAGAGAAATCCAAAATTCACACCATGGCTGAAGTGGTCCCCTACTGCTTATTCATGTGTTCTCATTGTTTTTTATAGCCATAAACTCAAGAAGATGTCACTGTAATGTGGGTTTTGAAATGGAACCAGACACAGAGGCGGCTGCAGAACCTAAACTAGGTTGGAATCATCTCTTTGTACACGATGTGTGCTTACTGACCATTATTCCTGGCTTCTTTGGAACCACTGAACTACTGAAGTTGATTCATATTGCATCATTTGTTTGCTTGACTTAAGCATTTTGTTAAAGTTGCTTTTCTTTGCTAATATACAATATTTGATTACTGTGTAAAGAAGAAAACTGTTTTAAACTATTATACAAAATATGTGCCCTATTGGGTTTAGAGCATTTGGATGTCATTTGTGCTATTTAGCATAAGTAAAATTGATAATTTATTCTATTTATTGTTACATCATAGGCATTTTTTGTGCCAAAAGCTGTTCCCTTTTAATTCTAAGTAATGTGATCAAGAACAAATGGATTAAATATTTTTAGACTACTGTAAAAACATGTGCTTGAGAGAAAGTGGAGTCTGTGGAAACTTTAAAAATTACATTAAAAATCCAAAATGAGACTTGTTTTATTGGCAATGTATTGTATTCCCTGGAAATCAAAAGCCCTTGTGTTCCAGAACATCAAGACCGGACCATTCTTTATCTATCCTACATCTGTAAATGACAATGGATGCCTCTTTTGTTTCACTCTACATTTGCATTAGGAAAGTTGTAGACATCATGGTGTGTGTGTGCGCGCGTGTGTGTATATACATATATATGTGTGTGTGTGTGTATATATATATATATATATATATATATAACTCTCTCCCACCTCCCACAAAAAAAAAAAAGCAGCTATCTACTGCATATCAGTTCCATGTGACCAGCTGTTCTTTGTCTGATCTTGCCTGAGTCAAATTGAGAGAGTTCCTCTGCCAGTCTCTAAATATATTTAGGAGGGGAAAAAACACCTCAGGGATGGAGGCTACCATCGATCTTTGCTTCTTGATAATGTAATGGCGATGCTGCTTTGAAAACCAAACCAGCCAAATGTCGAAAAGCATATATAACTAGTCACCTTTTTAGTCCAAGCAGCAACTCTTCAGAGCTGGCTCTCTGGGAGGCACCAGGCTTCCATCCACCAAAGATATAAGCACATGTATAACTTTATGCACAGGAGCAGTCCCACTGACCTCTGCCTGCTCCCTCCTGCCTGGCTTTGTGCTATAGTTTAAAAAAAGCAGTGTACATATCTTCACAGGACAGTCTCATGGCTTGTTCGCTGGTTGGGGGTGGGTGGCAAGACCTGTACCTCAGTGGATTGACCAGGAAGCAGTCTCTGTGAAGAGCACTTTGCAGAGATTTCCTCTCGTTTAGCTCACTCCCACAGGTTAGCCATGCTGCAGTGCGCTATCGGGCGCTGTGCTATGAACTGCTTACAGGAAGAGACTCATGTACCACTCAAGGGCTTGGGCAAGGGCATCAGTTACTAAATGAGTAATAAGCCAATTATATGTTGACACAAGCCATGTTCAGAGATTTTATTTATTAATTTATTTTGAGATATAATTATAAGCACCTTTCTTGGGCTCTGAGCACATTCACAATAATTATAATACAGTTTCCATTAGTTAGAGCCCATCATGAAACCTAACTTGTTCGAAGGCTGAGTAAGAGTGGTTATGTAGACAAGGTCTACATGACTATAACAGTCCTTGACAGGAGCCTCTGTTGAGACTTCAGTGGTGTGGGATAATTCTTCCCAAGGTGTGGAAACTGTCTGCTTTAAGGGGCAAATCCTGTTGATATCAGTAGCAAATTCCCATTGAACTCAGTGGGGGATCACAAGTTACTAGGGCCAGAAGCAGGAATTGCTGGGTAAAATCTACGGCCTGCTCTATTCAGAGATCTCCTGTATTTCAATCTTCTTAGAAACTAGAAAAGATTATCAAAATGGTCCCTTCTGGCTATAAATGAGTCTGTGACCATGATCTAGTTCTAACTTACTACTATTAAGAAATCCATCTTCATTGTTGACTTTGAATTTTTGGTTTACCTACAGATCCTTTTGTTTTTTTCTTCATTATATTTCTAGATCCTATTTTTAATTAAGTCTTATCCGAACTCTGTCTAGACTTTACCTTTCTAACCGTTTCCTTTGGTTAATTTAATCACCGTTTCATTTCCCCATCTCTCTTTATGTCCTCTGCTTCCTTCCCTGAATGCTAATCTTTTATCTCAATCTGGATCTGTTCCCTCTTGGCCACCAAAATAGCGCCACACCTCCCCTCTCCCTGAATTTCAGGCTTTTGACTAAATATCATCTTAGAGATTCCTTTACAGTATTTAAACCACAAGAAGCATCTGGTGGCAGTTTGACACTTCTCCTCAAAGTCTGTTATTGGTCATTACCCTTTGTTTAAAGCTCTTTAGCCAGATTTCAGTTCCCATGACAGTGGCTTTATCCAAGCCTATTTGAATGACGTTTTCAGCTACAATTTCATGGGTTTCCATATTCAAAGTCTTACTAAAATCCAAACTGTATGTACTTGTTACTGTTTTCTTTTAATCTGTTTTTAAATGGCTCCCAAGTATAGGTTGGATACATTTTTAACCACAAAATTAATTGTCTGTGATTCTAAAGGAGATGGGATTCAAGAAAGGGAACTGAGATTCCTAGTTTTCCTCTCAAAACAAGCTACCAATGACTGAGACAAGGGCTATTACTGCTTTTAGTGAACATCCTCATGATGATTTTATTATTTATTTTAGTCTATAGAGGTTCTTATAGTGCCCTCATTACTAGAGTAGTGCATTAAGCATTGTAACTAACATCTGTCATGGGTAGTTTTGTTCTCTCATCTCCTCCGCGATGGAGAATTGAGAGGCAGAGAAAGGCTTCATTAAATATCATTTTGGAGGCCATCCCAATGTAGGAGTTAACTGTAATTCTGGTAGCACTGGTTCAGGAATCATGAGGAGTGAGTTATTGTACACTGTTTTCAGAATAGGGACAGTATCTTCCCATGTGTTTGTACAGCATCTTTTAGTACAATGTGGCCTCACTCTTGACCAAGCACTTTGAGTGCTATGGTAGCTGTACAAATAATAAACAGAAGCTATGGGAGCTTAGCACCTCTAAGAAAACAAGCCATTTAGTTGCCTACATATGGAGTTAGGTGCATAACTTTACGCACCTCAGCTGCAGCCAAATGCTGCTTGGAGTTGAGGAAGGAGCACAATGGGTGCCCATTGTGGTGGTGGTCATCCTGGCCCCATCTCTGGAATAAAGTTGGGTTGCTTTAATTTACGCTGGCTGCCTATGGCCCAAGTAGCCGGGGATTGGCAACTCTATGCAGCGGTAATCCTCAAGGAGTTGCTTAAACTGGTTTTAGGGCTGTTTTTTTTCCAGTGGAGCTAAAAGCTCCCAGTGGGTTAATCCCACCTCCCTCCTTTTCAGGGTGTACCCTAACTAGCCACATTCACCCTCACAGGTCAGTTATGACGCACACTCCCTGCAGAGTTCCAACCCTTGCTAATGTGAGACTAAGACAAACAGGAGAACATGCCAACAGTGATACTTGGAGCTGTACAGGAAGACAGTGTTTCTGACCCAAGCAGCTTAGATACAAGGAAGGGACCCAGAACAAAGTGACACAGACGTGTTTGGAGAGGGCTCATGGGAGAAGTATGTTTTGAGAAAGTATTTGAATGAAGAGGGGGAGAATATTTGGTGCCTGAGAACAGAGTTCCAAATATAAGGAGTGGCCTGGATGAAGGCATGTAGGCCTGCATGGAGATGGAGTAATTAGAAAGAAGGCTTGGGAGGAAGGATGGGCAGCCAGAGGGAGAACAGGAGAAATAAGAGGACCAAAGTTGGGTGGGGGGGGAGTTTGCACAGGGGCTTGGTCAGGAGAGAAAGATGTGTGATCTTTCTGTGGAAGAGGTGTCCAGGGAAAGGCATTCAAAGCAGTTATGACATGAGCCGAGTAGAGGTTTGTGAAAATTTAGCTAACAGAGCACTAGCTCATTTCGGTGTGGGCTCTCTGTCTCGTCTGCTGTCGCTTGTGGCCCCACACCCACAAGGGTTCAGGTGCTTCACCCACATAACCATGAGCTCACAGGGTTTTTTTATTTCCTTGTCAGCTAAATTTGTTTTCCATCCTTATTGGAGAAAAAAGTCCCCAGAGAGTTGATGCCTGTGACGTCATGAAGCAGGTTAACCAGCCTAAAGGAACGGTTGAAGGAAATACCCTCCGAAAGGAGAGTGGAACACACCCTTGTAGGAATTTCCTGAGGTCACGAGCAGACATTATAAGCAGGTTGTCCATGGCCAAAGTAATCAGTTCAGAGCAGCTGATTTTCTGATATACCTTAAGTGAAGCTTTAAGTAAACTCCCCTATTGAGCTGAAAATGACAGGCTTTAGTAGCATGACCTTTATCCTGGCTTCTTTGGTGGGGCTGCTGTGCCTCTTCTGCACTTCTGAGGGTGAGTAATATTTGCTTTTGGGGCCATATGTCTAGAGGCAGAAATATCGGTAGGGAGTACGATAATTACGCTGAGTAATTTAAGCTGTGAGGGTAGCAGCAAGTCTCCTAGGGCATTACACTGTTGTGCAGGGCTCTCCCCTCCCCGCTTCTTTCTTTAATTTTATTTTGTAATAAAAAGTGCCAGAGAACAGATATAGTATGAAAGTGGCTGTGCAAGCTTTCCAGCCAAACTCAACCGATTCTGGGCATCGCTTCTTAGGTACTGTAGCTGTCTCTGTGCAGAATTAATCTTAGTCACCACTGCTGACAATGCCAGCTGAGGTGTCCGCACTGAACACTTGGGGTTTATTTACTGCTATTTTTACTTTTAAATATTTTTTTTTATGATGAGCTTTCCTATCGCTACAGATCTGTCTTACCCCACTAAAGGGATTATCACACAGCCTTAATTTGAGGTATTTGTCCCACCAACAGGATGAAAATTAATTCTATTTCACTTATTTGTAACACATTTTTCCCCATTTCAGCCCAAAGCAATCAAGACTGCTGCCTCTCCTACATGAGAACTGAGCTACCTCGTCGGACCATCAATGGCTACACAGAGCAGTTATCAAATGAAGTCTGTGACATCGGCGCTATCATGTAAGTTACCAGCTGAAAGAGATTTAGTTGCAATGGACCACTATCTGTACTTACGCCACAAGACCTGGTCTTTTAACCTAGACTAAAGGGGAAATGGCTTTAATCATAAATAAACGTTATTTCCTTATTTGGATCTATGAAATCTAATCCTATAAAATTCATTTAAAGTAGAAATAACTTTTATACCTATAGGACATAAATATTAGGAAAGTGCTTGACTCACATTCTCACACAGTATCTGTATGCTGTACATTTAAGTCCCAAGTGTTTTGAAATGCTAAGCAAAGATACAGACAATGGCATAGGTGCTCCATGTTGGCACTATAAGACATACTTCATATTACTAGAAAATGAATTTCTGTGAAATAGTGATCATTATTCTAAATTGTCCTTTCACAGTTAAACTGAACTCTTCTGCCTCTACTTTTGAGTAGAGTACCCATATCATGCATTTTGTACTATTGAATTAGTGTTCTGTTGAATGCAGTTCTTTATGGCTCAATAGCAGAACTTTATTGTCATTATTTCCTCTACCTTTCCTTCCAGTTTCCACACAAAGGGTGGGTTGAAAGCATGTGCAAATCCAGAAGACAATTGGGTGAAGAAGCGTCTTCTTTGGCTGAGGTAGGAATACCTTCAAATCTATTAGCCTGGCCAAAACTGAGTGTGACTAAGTATCCACTGACAGTGGCATATCTAAGCTCTTACAGGGGACTGGGTGTACAAGCATGGCTGGGTACATTTTGAAACGTGTCTCTCTTCTTGCTTTTCTTGTGCAGAGGAGAAGGGGGTGTTGGGAGCACATTTGTTTTAGGACTGATAGGGTCAGGATGGAGACAGGTATTCCATTTGCCCCTAACCCCAGATAGGATAATGCCATAGATTGCAAATACTATAATGGAGAAGAGAAACGCAAATTTCAAATCTTTAGCTAAATTAGTTGCTGATGTAAATTCATGCAGCACGACTGAGTGCTGTGGAGCTGCACCTGTTTACACCAGCAATGCATTTGACCCTCTTACTAAAGTAGTACCAGAAGCTTATCCATGCTTTTTCTCTATATTTTTACAGCAAAAAGCTCAAGAAGATGTCAATGTAAGACAGTTTCTGAACTGGAAGTAGACAGAGAGGTGGGCTGCAGAACCTAACCTACGTTAGAATCGTCTCATTGTACACTGTTGTGTGCTTGCTATCTACTTATTGCTGGCTTCTTTGGAACCATTGAACTACTGAAGTTGATTCATATTGCATCACTTGTTTGCTTGACTTAAGCACTGTGTAAAAGTTTCTTTTTCTTTGCAACCATATATATTACATGTTTGATTACTATGTAAAATAGAATATGATACATGTGTATTGGGTACTGTGTGCCCTACTGGGTTTAATGTACAGTGTATTCGTGCATATTAGCATAAATAAAACAGGGTATTCTGTTCATTTCATTTTTTTTGTCTAAAAGTGTTTCCCTTAATTTCTAGTGTTGTTGAAAAATAACATAGGCTAAAGTTAATATTTAATATAAAGACAATGGATGAAACATAAGTATTTACTCCTGGGGGAATTCTGCGCGACTGTGCATGCGCAGAATTTATGTCCCCCACATATTTCTTTGCTTCCCCACAGAAAAATGACTTTCTGACTGGGAAGCAAAGGAAAGCCACAAAAGCAGTCATGCAGCCCTCCCCACCAGTATGTTTTGGGTGCACAGGGCAGCTGGCAGAGAGGTAAATCACTGTGGGCAGGACTGGGGAAGACCCAGCTCGTGGCTCCTACCCTGCACCAGGCTCAGCTGCTAGATCCGGCTGGGCTGGGGAGGACAGGACTTCCTCTTCCTCTGCATGGCATCTGGGGCTGAGTCAGACCCACCCCCCCAGTTTCTCCCCAGGCTGCAGGAAGCTTTGAAAACTCTCCCACACCTGCTTCCTGCACCCATCGCTCCTCAGCTGCAGGGGGAGGGATCACTGTATGTGGAGCTGCTCCCCCATCTGCCCAACCCCTGTGCATCCAGACCCCCTCATACCCAGACCCTCTCGCCGAGCCTCACCCCCAGCATTCAGAACCCCACACGATGAGCCCCACTCCTCCTGCACCTGGACCACTGTGATGAGTACCCAAATCCCTACCCCACTAAGCCCCAACCAGCTGCACTTGTTTCCCCCCCCCCAGCATCTGGACCTGCAACTGAGCCCCCAACATCCAGATCCCCCTGCCGAGCTCTATATCCTCCACACCCAGATCCCCACCCCCTGCTGAGTCCCAACCACCTTCACCTGGACCCCCCCTGCAGAGTCCCATTGCTCCTGCACCCAGAACCCCCCAGTAAGCTCCTGTGCATCCAGATCCCCCACTGAGCTGCCCGCCCCCAGATTGCCACACACACAACCCTCTTGACCCACAGCTGGATCCCACCTACTAAGCCCTTCTATACTTGGATCCTGCCTTGCTGAGCCTGCTTACCCACACCTGGTGCACTTGGCATAGAGAAGCAGGGCACTGGGGTGTTTCTGGGGCAGGCCTGGTCCTTGTGCTGTGTCAGGGTTGGGTGCAGCCTCACTGCTGAGTCTGTGTCTCCGGGGCGGAGCTGCACAGTGATCTCCCACCTCTGTGCTCTGTGCTCCCCACTGCCACACTGGAGCCTCCACATTTATTTGACAAATAAAATTTGTAGAATTTTAAAATATTGTGTGCAGAATTTTTATTTTTTTTTACACAGAATGCCCTCAGGAGTAGATATTGTATGTTTAAAAATGCAAAGGTTTGAGAGGGAAAACATGGTGATCGTAAATGTGATAATACAACATTGCATTAGCTACCTCCTCCCCAAAAGCTGCTGATATGAATATATACTCCTGAAATAAAACATTTTTTTGTTCATGAATATCCAGATCACTGTTCCTATGCTCCTGGAATTATACTTCTCATTGCCATCATCCATAAATGTAAATTAAAAACAATGGCTCCCCCTCCCCTTACCCACTCTGTTTGCCTCATGAAGGCAGTGGACATGGGGGGGGGGTCTTACAGAAGAACTGATGTCTACTGTATATTTGTTCCACATAACAAATTGTTCTGAGCACAATTGTGCCTCAGTCAAACAGAGGGAGTTTATCTGTTACCATATTTGGTTTGTATCACAAAAGTTCAGGAATGGGAAGCACAGGAGACCTTTACATGCACTGAGAGCCTATGGTGTGACTAGCTGCGGAAGTAGTTACCTAAGAGGTGGTCCCTGAAGGTGGGTGTTGAAGTACAGCTTGTGCTGTACCTGTTCTGTGGATAGAAGACTTCTATTCCTGGGCCTGTTAATTGGGCTAAATGCTAACCGTCATATGGAGAAGTGCAAGAGGACTTCCTGTGGTGCTGCCACTAGTTCCCCACTAAGCATGTTCATGCTATCTATATAATCTAAGTTAGTAGTACAGTAAGGAGCCCAATCTTTCTTTTCCTCCATGGAAGAACAATACAAAATGTTATTGCCCTGTGGACTGCGCAGGTCACCTCAGAGCCCCCAGTGGGCTGTTCATATGGCTTCTCTGGCTGATCAGTCAGTGTTGCCAACTCTTATGATTGTACTGAGTCTCTCAATATTTGGTTTGTTTCTTAAAGCCCCAGCTCCTGGAATTCTTTGATTACATGAGAATCTCAACTTTCATTTTCTTTAAAAAGTGATTTTTTTCTAGCCCTCATGGTTGCAGAGAAAAGCCTGAAAACAGGACTTGAAATCAAAAGGCAAATAAAAAGAACCGAAAATGTATTATTTTAAGCCAATCTCATGATTTTTTTGGGGGGAGGGGGGAGCCTGACTCACGATTTTTGAACACTTGAGATTGGCAATACTGCAGTTCCAAGGTAATGTCCCTAAAATGGAACAATTTGCAACGGACACCACTTGCAGTCATAGGATATGATGACTTGAGCTATCAGATACGGTAGAACAGTATTAGAGTTACGAATGCAGAGTTACGAACTGATCGGTCAACCACACAGCTCATTTAGAACTGGAAGTACACAATCAGCTAAAAGCAGAGACAAAAAAAAAAAGGTATACAGTACAATTCTGTTAAATGTAGACTACTTAAAAAAAAAAGCAGAATGTGTCTTCTGCATAGTAAAGTTTCAAAGCTGTATTATGTCAATGTTCAGTTGTAAACTTTTGGAAGAACAGCCATAACATTTTGTTCAGTTACATACATTTCAGAGTTACGAACAACCTTCATTCCTGAGGTGTTCATGCCTCTGAAGTTCTACTGTAGTCAAAACATTGCAGTCATAGTTCATAAGTAGCTTTGCCTATTCTTCCCTTCTCTATGCCTAGTGGAGATGGACCCAATTGCCAACAAATATTAGTGAAGAGTTTGCCTCTTGATGTTGTCATAGCCTGTTCAGATATCACAGTAACAGAGACTGATAGATACGTAGATATCCTTAATTACAGAACGCTGACCCCTGTCCCTTGTAAGAAGGAAGAGATTAGTTAATACAGCATGAACACCACTAGAGACTGGTTAGTTGAAGGATGCACTGACCCAAGTGTAACAAACGTAACACATGTGCCCTCAATACTGCCCGGGGCCTTTAGGCACTAGTGTAATACAAATAATAATCTCTTCCATAGTGGAGTAATACCTGCCCTAAAGCCATGGGACAAGAAAGTCCTTGGGTGTTGTGCACAGTATGACCTTATTTCAAACTCTATCTTCTCATTCCCTTTTGGATGGTAGAGATAAGTAAAAATGCGACTAATTCCTATGGTTAACAGGTTTCTTCTAAAATAAGTAGCTGTGAACTGTGCTCAAGTCCGCTAATGGAAACAGTAGATAAATCATTCATCAAGTATACATACAATAACCTTTCAAGTGAAAGTAGATGTATGTGTCAATGTATAGCCAGAAATGATATCTTTGCAACACAGTAGGCTTGGTACAAGTCTGATGAAATCACCTATAAAGTGGGGAAATGGGAGCTTGAAAGATATAGAGACAGCCCTCCATCAGGACAGCAGAAGACATTAGCTTGGTAAACTTCACTTAGGGTGACCAGATGCCCCGATTTTAAAGGGACAGTCCTGATTTTTGTATCTTTTTCTTATATAGGCTCCTATTACCCCTCACCCCGTCCCGATTTTTCACACTTGCTGTCTGGTCACCCTAACTTCACTACTCACTCAAACATGGCAGTTCCTGGTTGCAGAAGGAATCTTTTTGATAGACCAGGATATCAGAAATAGACATCAAAATGGTCCTGCAAAGCTCCAAAAATGCCTGCTTTGGCACGCTACTCTATGGCTGTAACTGATTTAGCCAAAGTATACACTAGAGCTGATCAGAAAACAATTTCTGTTCTATGGGAAATTCTGACATTGATTTAATTTCCAAACAGAACAAAAAGTCAAAATTTCATAATTTCTCACAGGACAGAAATTCTGAATAATTTTGATTGAGACATTAAAATATTTTGTTTTTAATATTTGAATCATTTTGCTTTGATAAGGTCAAAATGTAAAAACATTATAAAATTATACAAAAATAGATTAGTATAATCTATTACAATTGAGAGTTTTATAGTATATTAAAATATTAATTAAATTTATCAAAATGATAGGAAAAAGTAAAAACAAATAGTTTTGACTATTGAAAATTTAATCGCAATTGACACATTTCCATTTTGATTTCAACGAAACTGCATTTTCTGACAGAAAACTATTTTGTTGAAAGTTTTTTGTCCTTTCATGAATCAGTTAGCCTCCCACAAGGGGTCTGCAGTTCTCATACTGCCAATGCATATGTAGGCAAAATACCCAGTATGGATAACAAGCATCTCTTTTCCTTATTTAGAAAGTGCATCAGGATTGCTTACTGACCATCATCTTCCCTGTTGTGGGCCCGCACAGGCTTCAACCATGGAATGGCTGAGCAAACACTCTGCAGCCGGGCCTAGTGTGCCAGCCTTGCTATCCTGAGTGTGTAGCACAGAGCTCCGTTGAGCAGGAGCCTCCATTCCTTTCTGATTTGGACCATAGAAGGAACAAGGAAGGAAGCTATGAATTATCATAGGGGGAGGTAAGTTATGTGTTTTATTGATGGCCCAAAGCCTTCTCTGCTCCTTGCCCCTCTGCTTAGCAGCCAGGTGGTATTAAGAAAGGGGGGAAGTTTCCCTATATAAAAGCATCTAGAAAGGGAAGCTGCCTGAGAAACCAGGCAAAGAGGGAGGGAACTAGGAATTTGTTGAACTAGTCTGACTGGGTGGAGAAGGGTGAACAAGTGTCCAGGGCTGGAGGAAGTGGGAAGCGCAGAAGGGGAAAACATGACGTTCTTTTGAGAGGACTAGCTCTAGCTCATGCTAATTGCACCACATATGCACACGTTTACATAGATTCATAGATTCTAGGACTGGAAGGGACCTCGAGAGGTCATCAAGTCCAGTCCCCTGCCCGCATGGCAGGACCAAATACTGTCTAGACCATCCCTGATAGACATTTATCTAACCTACTCTTAAATATCTCCAGAGATGGAGATTCCACAACCTCCCTAGGCAATTTATTCCAGTGTTTAACCACCCTGACAGTTAGGAACTTTTTCCTAATGTCCAACCTAAACCTCCCTTGCTGCAGTTTAAGCCCATTGCTTCTTGTTCTATCCTTAGAGACTAAGGTGAACAAGTTTTCTCCCTCCTCCTTATGACACCCTTTTAGATACCTGTAACTGCTATCATGTCCCCTCTCAGTCTTCTCTTTTCCAAACTAAACAAA